AGCAATCTCGTTTTTCTCATTGCGTTTCCTTGTGAATACCCATTTGTAACCCACGGGGTTTACATCAGGCGGGGTTTGGACTACTGGTCTAAAACACTTCGCCTTTCCAAGGAATTTAATTCTGCCTGGATTGCATCTTTCCACTTAGGCCAATCTTGTCTCTGTTTGCACTCATTAACAGATCGGGGCTCAATATCATCACTTAATATGATTTTAGTGGCTACTGTGAATGCGAACATATCGTCAATGATTATTTCATTCCGATCCCACAATTCATTAGTACATGCATAATTTATGGAGATTTCTTTGCTTTCATGTACTTCTGTCTCTTTAGGGACATATGTCTCATCAATGACATTTTCTTTTTCTGGAAGTCCAGAATCATGAATTGTGGATTTGTCATTCATTCTTTCTTCCTGAATGATTTCATTTGGATTCAGCTGTGCCCTTGTCTTTCTCTTTCGAGGGGCTGAATCTTTTGAACCTGGTGGTCTACCACGCTTCAGGCGTGCACTAGATGAATCATTCACTGCCACTTTATTTTGTCCAATAGGGACATCAATTCTTGCAGGTGCATTTGCAGCTGGTATATGTGATTTTGTCACTTTCATAGCATCATTAAATGCATCTGGCATTTGATTGACAATGCTTTGAAGATGAACGATCATTTTTACTTCATTTTCACATTGAATGCTTCGAGGATCAAAATGAGACAAGGTGGGAACAACCCATGTCAGCTCTTTCCGTTCTTCTGGAACGGTTTTTTCTCCCCCTAACGACGGGAAGACTGTCTCATTAAAGTGACAATTAGCAAAACGTGCTGTAAACATATCACCTGTCAGGGGTTCCAAATATCTAATGATAGATGGTGAATCAAACCCCACATAAATTCCCAGTCTACGTTGAGGTCCCATTTTAGTGCGTTGCGGCGGTGCAATAGGCACATAAACAACACAACCAAAAACTTGTAAATGTGAAATGTTTGACTGATGTCCAAACACAAGTTGTATTGAGGAGTATTGGTGGTTGGCTATAGGTCTTAATCGAACCAATGATGCAGCATGTAGGATGACATGTCCCTATGCAGAGTGCATGCTATTATCTGAAACCACTTGATCAATGCTTCTGCTAAACCATTTTGAGTATGGACATAAGGAACAGGGTGTTCAACATCAATGCCCAATGTCATGCAGTAATCATCAAAAGTTTGAGATGTAAATTCACCAGCGTTATCAAGTCGGATTAACTTAATGGGATAATTTGGGAACTGTGCTCGTAACTTAGTTATATGAGCAAGAAGTCTTGCAAAAGCTACATTCCGAGTAGATAAGAGACAAACATGTGACCATCTGGTGGATGCATCAACCAAAACCATAAAATATCGAAATGGTCCACAAGATGGTTGAATAGGTCCACAAATATCCCCTTGAATTCTTTGCAGAAATGATGGGGATTCAGCATCAACCTTTAGTTGTGATGGTCTAATTACCAACTTCCCTTGAGAACAAGCCTTGCAAGGGTTATCATTTGAGATAGCAATGTTTCTGCTCAATAATGGATGTCCATTAGAGTTGGTAATGATCCTACGCATCATGATGGATCCTGGATGACCCAGACGGTCATGCCAAAGCATGTAAACCTTTGAATCAATGAACTTCTGGTTCATGACAGTATGTGATTCAATTGTCCTTATGTATGTATAATATAATCCACTCGAAAAACCACGCAACTTCTCCAATATACGCTTCTGGGTATCATTAGAGGTAATGCATAGATACTCCACATTTTCTGCACTTTTCGTTTCAATGTGGTATCCATTTAGACGTATGTCTTTGAAACTCAACAAATTTCAAGTAGATCGAGTAGCATACAATGCATTTTGTATGGACAATATTGTTCCATTTGGTAACATAATCTGGGATTTCCCTGAGCCTTCAATTACATCTGAAGGTCCTGATATTGTTGTTACCCCTACTCTTGTAAGCATTAAGCTTGAGAAATACTTTCGATCACGAAATATTGTATGTGTGGTTACACTATCTGCAAGACAAATATCTCTGCCATTTCTCATGTTCTGAAATAACCACAGTTTTTATCCATGCTTTATGAGTAAATGGAATCACAGTTAACAAACAATTTATAATAGGAAATTTACATGCCACTTTTATTGAATCTGAAAAACTAGTTTTAGACAACAAGTTCAGCATAATAAAAGTACATCAAACATAAACGATTTAGTCGGACCGGTATATTTCATTCCCCCTTTCCATAATGAAGTCTGAAACATCTAGGTGAGTTGTGTCCAATTGCCCTGATAAATCAAACACTGGATCAGGTATATCTATTGGTTTAGCCTGGTCGAGAAAATTGGTCTCGACACCCTTCTCCTTGAGGGAGGCTTGATACAACTCCACCAGATGTTTTGGGGTACGACAAGTTCGCGCCCAATGCCCATTGCCACCACACCTATGGCAGGCTCTTTCAGAGTTCCTGGGAGCATTGTTCATGTGAGCTTTGCCTTTGTGATGATTCACATTTTTAAAGCTCGAGCCTAAATTATGCCTCGGAACCTGGTTGTGAAACTGACCACCATGGTTCTTGCCTTTCCTATTCCATCGACCTCGCTTGTGGCTACGTCCTCATTTATGATTATTGCCACCAGAGGATGTGGCGTTCACTTCGAGGGAAGCAGCATTCACTTCTAGGAATGGTGCAGATCCAGTAGGTCGAGAATTATGGTTTTTCATCAAGAGCTCATTGTTCTGTTCAGCTACCAGGAGCACAGATATCAGCTGGTTGTATTCAGTGTAGCCTCGCGCTCTATACTGCTGCTGCAGGAGCACATTATTGGCATGAAATGTTCTGTAAGTCTTTTCCAGCAACATTTCCTCAGTAATGGTATCCCCACAGAGTTTCATCTGAGAGGTAATCATGAACAACGCATAATTGTACTCTGCCACTAATTTGAAATCCTGGATTCTCAGGTGAGACCACTCATAGCGAGCTTTTGGAAGAATCACCGTTGTCTGGTGATTGTATCTGCTTCTCAAGGCCTCCCAGAGAGCTAACGGATTTTCAACCGTTAAGTACTCGCTTTTTAGTGCCTCATCAAGATGGCGGCGAATAAAGATCATGGCCTTCGCCCGATCTTGAGAGGATGAGCTGCTTTCTTCCCTGATGGTATCTCCAAGATTCCCTGCTTCCAGATGGATCTTGGTATCCAGTACCCAGGTAAGGTAATTCTTCCCGGTAATGTCCAGGGCAGCATATTCAAGCTTCGCCAAGTTCGCCATTTTCTTTTCTAAAAGAAAATGAGATGTGTAAGAACTTGCAATAATATGTATTCCTGGAGGAATATAATGTTAGAACTTCTGGTTCTTACAATTTTTTCATTTTGATCTTCAGGCCAAAATGATAAACACTCGAAACTTCTGGCTCGAGATTTTCAGTGTGAATGAGGAGGGCAATTGTACCGCACCATTCTCATTGAAATAATGTAACATAGAATGAGCGATTATTCCGCACCACTCAAGTAGGAAGAAAATTGAAATACGCAGAGCAGGGTGGGCGATTATACCGCTCCACCTAAAATTGCAATGAAAATAAACAGCAAGTAAATTTAAATTTGCAAAGCAAGGTGGGCGATTATACCGCTCCACCTGAAATTTGCAGTAAAAGTAGATCTGCAGTCCAAGATAGGCGATGATACCGCACCATCTTGGATCGCAGTAAGATGAAATTTGCAGTTCAACATGGGCGATTGTACCGCACCATCTTGGATCGCAGTAAAATCAACATAAATAAATACTGGGTTAGTAATCAATATCTAAACCAAACAAGTAATCAAAGATGTATGTAACCGCTAGTTGGAGAACTATGAGCAGGCATGGAGCAAACAGTTCGTCGCGAGGGTATACCGCGCAGTTGAGGCAGAGGAAGAAGATGAACAGGAAAAACCTTAGAGGAAACATTTTTTTCGTTCGGCGGAGAGAAAATGAGAGAATGATTTCTTTTGGTCAATGTAAATGAGACATAGTTATATTTAATGACTCGTGCTGATAACGTGTTATAAATATATCAAAGTTAGAGAGATAACCTTTTAGGTAGATGCGAAGTAGATGTAAAATATCACACTGTAATGAAAACACAAGGGGATGACAAATTAAAGAGGGAGGAATAGATGATCTTATTGAACTTTCCTTCTTTCTGCTGTTTTCTCTCTGTATGTTATTGCAGGCATACAGAGCGCTCTATTTATAGAGCATCTCCTATCAAACCCATTAATTGTACATTCACAATTTACAACATATACTTTGAAAATGTGATTCCTACAATTCCAAAGTCTACTGCTAATATTTTCATTAGTCTGTAATGTTGAAAATCCATTTGTGGGCATTCAATTATCAGCCAACGTTGTCAACAATGGTGATATTTTCAACAAGTTGGATGTTTTTGAGTGATTTAAAAATAGGATTGAAGGAAGGTTCCAAGAAGTCTGGTAGAAGAAGACTAATCCCTTTAAATAATGAAGCAAAAAACCCTTACACACAACTCCAAGGAAATTGCTAAGTTTTTACCATCAAAGACTCAAGAATTCAAGTCCATGCGTAAATTGATTAAGAAGGTAGGGCATAATGTGCCTCTTGAAACCGTATGTATACATATTTGTTTCTCTCAATTAAGTCGTTTATGCGACAGAGTGAGACTGATACAAAAGTGTATACATTATAATATCATAAATTCTATCGCACTAGTCCCGTGAGATTAACACAAAGTGTGTACACTCAGGGAAGCAACACACAATGTATTGGCGAGTATATGCCCGGCAACAAGAATACAAATAAAGACCAAGTGACTTTAATAAAGATTAAATAATACCAAAGACTTTTATAAAGATTAAATTAAAGACCGAACAGTACCAAAGACTTTAACAGTACCTAAGATTACATAAACACTAAGTGAAGTGACCAAGAGTATCAATAATATTTTTTCCAATCATTTCTCTCTCTCTCTCTCTCTAACCCTCTTTTTATTTCTCTCTCTCTAACCACAAACATGGAGGATCAATCAGCCGGGTGCTGCAGGTGCTGCTTCAGCTTAATATTCACTCTCGGCCTCATAGCCCTCTTCATGTGGCTGAGCGTCGACACCAAAAGTTCCACCCTCTTCGTCACCCTCCGGCTCAAAAACACCAACAATGACAAGAGAGTTTTATACGACGCCGTCAACCACACCTTCCGGTGGCACAGAATGGACAGGTGAGTATAGGGATTCTAGATCAAATGTCCAAGTAATAAGCATATATGTAGACGTTTGTTAGGGTCGAATGCACAAAAGGAATATTCATGTGGTGATTGAACTAGGGATCATCTGGATTAATGTTTGAGTTAATCCTAGCTTCGATCATGAAAGGAAAATATTTCCATATTTTCGTGGTCGGGTAGGGGTATGAGTCGTATGACATTTTCTATCCTTGTTTTCTTCGTCTTATTTCCATATTTTGCTTCTTGTGCTTAGAAAGGATTTTTGAACGTTAGGGTTTCTACAATTAGCTGGTAGTTTAGTTAAGACTCCAAGAGCCTTAATATTGAAATCCTGTGTATACATATTTGTTGCTCTCGTCTTACTCGGCTATGGAATTAGTGAGATTGGTAGAAAAGCGTATTCATCGGAATATCACAGATTTCATCACATTACGAGAATATAAATAAAGACCAATTGGCTTTAATAAAGATTAATACTACCAAAGACTTGTGTAAAGATTAAATAAAGACAAGAGACATTAATAATTAAAGATTTCGACAAAAAAAAAAAAAGACATTCATAAAGATTAAATAAACACCAAGTGAAGTTACTAAGAGCATCAATAATCATTTTTCCAATCGTTTCTCTCTCTCCCTCTCTCTATAAGACTATAATCCTCTTCCCATTTCTCTCTCCAACCACAAACATGGCGGATCCATCACCCGGGTGCTGCAGGCGCTGCTTCAGCATCATATTCACCCTCGGCCTCACAGCCCTCTCCATGTGGCTGAGCCTCCGCACCTCCAACCCCAAGTGCACCATCCACTCATTTTACCTTCCTGCCCTCAACCGGACCCTAAACGACACCAAAAACACGACCCTCTTCGTCGCCCTCCGGCTCAAAAACACCAACAGTGAAAAGGGAGTTTACTATGATGCCGTCAACCTCACCTTCCGGCTGCTGCCCAATGCCACCAGCATGCCCGTAGCAACTTCTGCTGTGCCCCGGTTCTACCAGGGCCACAAGAAGACGGCCACCAAGATCTTGGTCGTGGGCCCCCAAGAGTGGCTCAACTGGACGGCAGTGTTCAGTGGGGTCCACCCCAATGGGAGTGTGAATTTCAGGGTGGATTTGGCCACTGCTGTGAGGTTCAAGATCATGTTTTGGAAGACCAAGAGGCACAGGCTGAATGTTGGTGCTGACGTGCTGGTCAATGACTCCGGCGGGAAAGTCAACGAGAAGGATATCAAACTCTCTGCTGCACCAGATCATCACCTGATTGGTTTCTTTTCTGGGCAGGTGGGGGTTTTGTCCAATTTCTTGGTTTTGATTTTGCTCAATTTTTTGTGATTTTTTTTTTTATTTTTTAGAATTTTTATAGTGAAAGACTTTGTTATTCTTGTTGCATTTTTTTTATTTTGTTGATTTGTAATCAGTGCTATTTTTTAAGCAAGGAAGAAATTAGTCCCAACTTTTTTACCTTAAAATATTTTTTATTTAATTTTTTGTGATATACTGTAGACAATGTAACTTAGTCAAATCAGAATCCCGCTCACTAAGAACCGAGATTTATAACTGTCAAATGTTGTTTATTTGTCTAGACGCTCTGACTTGGCCAATTGAAATTGATACTACAAGTAAGCTTCAAGTGAAATTGATACATTACCTTGTGCATCTCCACCAGTTAAAGATACCACCCCTGGATGGAGGAAGAGTACTTCCAGAGAAGATGCCACATCTACCTATGAGACAGATAAGGCAAGTCAAGACGACACCACACTCCGATACTTAGAAGTTTCGTGATTACGAGATCATTATCCCACAATATTTCCTAATGTCATTTGTACTAAATCATTCACTCGTACTCACTAAAGGAGAGCTTGAACCTATGTACTTGTGTAAACCCTTCACAATTAATGAGAACTCTTCTATTCCGTGGGCGTAGCCAATCTGGGTGAACCACGTACATCTTGTGTTTGCTTTCCTATCTCTATCCATTTATATACTTATCCACACTAATGACCGGAGCAATCTAGCGAAGATCACAAAAAGCGACCGTTTTTCGTTACCTAGGATCTATCTTGCAAGAGAACGGAGAATTAGATGGAGATCTCAACCATAGAATACGAGCTGGATGGAAAGAGTGCATCCGGCGTGTTGTGTGACCGTCGTAGGCCACTGAAGCTCAAGGGAAAATTTTATAGGACGGCAATAAGGCCAGCGATGTTGTATGGCAGAGAATGTTGGGTGGTGAAGCATCAACACGTACACAAAATGGGTGTAGCGGAGATGAGGATGCTTCGTGGGATGTGTGGGCACACGAGAAAGGATAAGATTGGGAATGAGGATATCCGAGGTAAAGTAGGAGTAGCCGAAATTGTAGGAAAGATGAGAGAAAATCGGCTCTGGTGATTTGGACATGTGCAAAGAAGGCCGACTGACGCTCCGGTTCGAAGATGTGACTACGGGACAGAGGTTCAGGGCCGAAGGGGTAGAGGAAGACTTAGGAAAACTTTGGAAGAGACTCTAAGAAAAGACTTAGAGTACTTGGATCTAACGGAGGGCATGACACAAAACCGAGCGCAATGGCGTTCTAGGATTCATATAGCCGACCCCACTTAGTGGGAAAAGGCTTTGTTGTTGTTGTTGTTGTTGTTGTTGTTGTTGTACAAGAAACGATATCATAGTCTTTTATTAATCAACACCAAACAATTACAGAGTGTCATTGGGTACATAATTTCAGTGACTAAAAAATTGATCTGGAATGAATTTGCACAAAACAGACAAATAACAATAAACCCCTAGTAGACACCCACAAGCTCAACCACACAGTCGCCAAGCACACAAATCTACCACTACAGATCTGTCACAATAACGATAGTCGTAACATAGAGATACCAGCAAACACAACGGTCATCACTGAATAATGAGGCCACAAAAAGTTATCGCGAAAATGAAACCACGTCAAATCCTAGAGTTAAGGAGCGCTCTCTATGTGTGAGTAGGAAAATAAATTGGTTGGAAATAAATAATAATGATGCCCAAGAAGAAAATTTAAGCCTTGAGGGTTATTTTTTTTGTTTTTTTTGTGTAAGTTTGCAAAAGTAGGTAGTCCCACAAAAGAACGTGGTCCGATTTCAATTGGCTACCAATTCTGATGTTTTCGGAATCAGATTTCCATAGTCTGTATGGGGTTAGACATGGAGATTTCCAAAGATTTTCAACTATTTGTACTATTTTTTTAATAGATATGAAACTTATTGACATGTCTTTCTTCTATTAGAGAAATGATACAAATAATTGTATAAATAAATGATAAGTGTGGAGCAAAAAATAATCTCAAAAATTCTAGTGGCGATACGTAGACTTTTATTCAAAAAGGACAAGATTGCCCTTAATAAATGGACAGACTTCTCAGATTCTCTCACGCGCAGCTCACATCCTGAAGGACTCAGCAGCTGAACACCACTGCCCACAGCTCACATGCCCATGGCAAGGAATTAAAGATAATGATTAATTACCAAAATCCTATCTTTAATACATTCCTAATTAAAAATTGACTTCAATCAAGTAAATAATCCTAATTTAAACCAATTAAGGATTATTACCCTATTATCTCCTAATAAATATCTAGGGAATATTTAGAGATTATTGTCTTCATTTAACCCTATATGGCCAGCCCTAGCCCTATAAATACTCCATATTCTACCATTTTCTTAGAGCTTTGGACAACCGTAAAAAGTATCAAAACATATTACTCTCTCAGAGAAACTAACTTAGGCGTCGAAGATCTGTTGACCTAACCCCCCCCCCACCTCGTGGGCGCGGTGGCTTAGGTCTCTGATCAAAGGTGTTAATTGTTTTGCAGGTGTATTTTCGTCAAGATTGAAGACGATGAAAATTTGCATCCACAAATTGGTGCTTTCATTGAGAGTTGATTCAAAATACTCGAAGAAGCCTCTCGCATTTGTTTCTTGAATTTTCTATTACGTTGAATTTCTCACACGTCGTATCAATTAATTTTTCCTAGAAAAGTTTCTTGATCAATCCCTGAATAAATGATACAATGGTAGAAAATTCAGAAATTACGACGAATGGAACATCGTACGTGCAAGGATTTGGACCGAAGAGTGGAGATGAGGACATAACCCCACGACGGAGGTCATCAAGGCTCAACACGACAGCAGAAGGAGCCCTACTGTCGTGAAGCCGCGTCACCACCGTTACCACCTTGACCCAGCAGCCACGGCAAAGCCACCAGGCCACGGCACCACTTCCACCTAACCCTAGGCAAGAGGCCCAGGTCTATTTCCAAGCCCGTGGGCAGGAGGCCCAGAACTTGGCAGCTGCCACAGCGAGCCCTGGGCAGGAGAACCTACCCAATGCAACAACTAGCCTTGTTACACAGTAAGCCCAAACTCGAGCCCAGAATTCGACAGCTATTGCCAGCCAAGCAGCTCAGCGGGCCCAAGCCCAAGACACTCAGCCAACAGGCCAAGATGTGGCAACCTAACGACCAGGAGGGCCCGCCCGGGACCATGTAGATCCAAAGATTACCTGCTATGGGCTCAAGCTTTGTACTTGCAGTCTACTATACTTTCACCACACATGCACACGCCCATTATTCAGGCTTTTCCAATCCAAATGAAGAGCACCACCTGCCTCAGTAGGTCGCCAATTTGACGAACGCCCTCGCGCAAAGACCACCTTGGTGAACCAACTCCTCGAGCGCATTAAGATGCAGTGTGCCCCAAACGAGGTGTCCCGAAGCAAGACAAAGGCGGAAGAACATGACTCATTCCAGCGATGTCCCGATAAAAAGCTGCTCAGCCAGCCACGAACCGAGCATTTAGGCAGTGTACACTCTCGTTTGGGCCCTTGGGGAAACGTCTTCTCCCGCCTAGATACGCAGAGAAACGTTCATTCCCAACTCAGCTTACGAGTCAGTGTGCATTCGAGGTTGGGTTCACACTCCAGCGAGCACTTAAGACCTTCCGGGAGAAGCATCCACACGAGACTAGGCCCGCAAGGAGATTCTCCTACGAGGCAACGAAATAGGCAGCTGCATGACGCCCAGAGAAGAGCACATGGTCAGTCTAGCTCAAGTTCCACTGGCAGCCCCCGCCCAAAGAGACGGCGTACAGCACAAGGCGAACTTCATGCACCGCAACCGCGGTACAGACAAGCAAGAGAGCCGAAGAGCAACATAGACCAGCGGGTCAACACCGGGGGTAGCCGAAGGATCCGCTGCCCCACCAGGTGCAAATCCAGGAGGAAGTACAAAGGCTCGTAGCAGAGCAGTTGCGTGAATTCCAGCACATTGACACTACTGACAATGCCCTCCGTAGAGACGTGGCCAACTTAAGCAGGTCACCATTCACAGATGAGATCGAGTGGACGGAACCATCGCGGAAGTTCAACCTGCCATATTTCACCCTTTTTAGGGGATATGAAGATCCGGACAGACACTTGATGCACTACTGAAGTGTCATGACCCTCTACGCCAATAATGATACTCTCATGTGCAAGATCTTTGCCACGACACTACAAGGTGAAGCGCAAGACTGGTTCCACACTCTGCCGCCACGTTCAATCCAGAACTTCGATGAACTTTCCTTGGTTTTCACTAAGTAGTATTCATTCTACCGTTCGATCAAGAAAAGATTTGACCACATTTTCAGCATGAAAAAAGACCGAAAGGAATCACTATGTACTTATATCAAGATATTCAAAGCAGAAAAGGAAAAAATCGTCGGAAAACTCTTATGCTTTGGCAGAAAAACACTCCCTCTAGGACGAGGAAAAACGCTCCCAGAAGCCGCGAAACCGACTGAGAAGAAGGCGAGTGATAAACCGCTCAATATCAAAAATAAGCCAAGAGACAAGCACAGGAACCGGTCACCAGTGAAGGAAGGCACGGCACCCAAGTCGTACACCAAGTTCTCAGTCCAGATCAGCCAAATCCTTCACGACCTCAAAGATAAGCCATGGTTCAAGCCACCGCCGCCTATAAAGGGCGACACCTTAAAGATGGACCAGACCAAGTATTATGCATTCCACAGGGGTTATGGGCACACAACCAATGAGTGCACCATATAGAGGAGGTACCTCGAGCAATTTGTAAAGAAAGGCAAGTGCGACTAGTATATCGATAGACCGACTGCCAGGCCAAGGCGAGAAGCAGATGCCGATGCTGAACCCTTAACCAAGACAATCCAAATCAATGGAATCTTTTCCGAATCTGAACATCTGGGGGCCATCAATAACTCCAAGAAAAGGAAAATCCAGCATGCGAGATCGGTCAATCAAGTTTAAGCCATAAATGTTGGGCCTGGACCAATCGTCGGCTTCACCGAGCAGGACACTGAAGGAGTAGACTTTCCCCACAACGATGCCCTGGTGATTTCTCTACAATTGGCCCACACCATCGTTGACAGAGTCATGGTGGACAACGGTAGCTCAATCAACCTCCTACAACTGTCGGTCATCCAGAAGATGAGCCTGGGAAGCACGGTCTAACGTAAAGTAGGGGTCTTGACCGGATTCAACTGACCTAGCTCAACTGTCATTAGCACTATTACACTCGATGTAACCAACCCGCCGATCGTCTCGTCGCAAACCTTCATGATTATCAGTGACCCATCTCCTCACAGCAGGATATTGGGCCGACCCTGGCTAGTGAAGATTGAAGCTGTGACCTCTGTCGAGTATTAGAAAATCTGATTTCGCATCCCGGGAAGAGCAGTCGGAGAAATCAAAGTCGACCAGGCCATGTCCAGGCGATGCACTATACCAGTTCTCAAAGAGTCGAAGAAGAAATCTTTCACCCCAGTAGTAGCAGCTGAAGTACAGAAAGACGACTCTACCTCTGCCAAATAGTAATTACAACAGACAAGTAAAAAAGATGGCGTTAAGGTCGACAATGCCCTGGAAGATGAGTCAGGATGGAAACCCAAAGAAGACGCCGAAAGCATCATTCTTGACCCCCACCAGCCGAAAAAGATGGCTAGAATTGGCTCATGTCTGAGCCCAACAGAGAAGGAAGAACTCACGGCTTTCCTTAAGGAAAATCGTGACATCTTCACATGGTCACCCTCTGACATGCTCGGTATTGATTCAGCGATAGTTTGTCACAAGCTGCACATCGACCCTGCTGCCAAACCTGTGATCCAAAAAAGGCGACATTTCGCACCCCAGCGAGTGGCGATCATTGAGGCAGAGATCAACAAACTACTAGAGGCCGGATTCATTGAGGAAATGGCACATTTAGCATGGTTGGCCAACGTCGTGCTAGTAATGAAAAAAGAGAAGGGCAAATGGAGAGTATGCTTGGATTACACCGACCTCAACAAGGCATGCCTTAAAGACAACTACCGGTTCCCCAAATCAACCTTCTCGTTGACTCAACATCCGGGAATCGGCTGCTCAGCTTCTTGGATGCATATTCAGGCTACAATCAGATTGCCATGCACAAGCCTGACAAAGAAAAAATCGAATTCATGATCGAGCGAGGTAGATACTGCTACAAGGTTATGCCTTTTGGCCTCAAGAACGCAGGAACAACCTACCAGCGACTCATAAACACGATGTTCAAGAAGCAAATCGAGGTCACAATGGAAGTCTACATCGACGACATCATGGTGAAAGGCAAGCAACGGTCAGACCACATTCGTAACTTGGCAGAAACTTTTGCCATTCTTTGAGAGTACAACACGAAGCTCAACCCAGCCAAGTGCACATTTGGCGTCTCCTCAGGCCGATTCTTAGGGTACCTTGTAACCCAACGAGGAATCGATGCTCATCTAAGGCAGATCAAAACGATCTTAGACATGAAATCGCCTTCAACTTTGAAGGAGATCCAAAGTATGACCGGACGAGGAGCCGCACTCAATTGCTTCCTTTCATGATCTACTGACCGATGTAAGTCTTTCTTCAAGGCAATTAAAAAAGCGCAGAAGGATAAATCGGACGATGAGTGCGAAAAAGCATTTCAAGACCTGAAGCAATACTTGACATCACCTCTACTACTATCCAAACCAGAAACAGCAGAGAACCTATACATCTATCTGGCGGTATCAAAAGTAGCAGTAAGCTCTGCCCTCATACGAGAAAAGCTGAGGGCCCAACTGCCTGTATTCTACACATCTAAAGCTATCCTCGATGCGGAAACCAGATACCCGAAGATCGAAAAACTAATTTTGGTGCTAGTTGTTGCAGCTCGGAAGCTCAGACCCTACTTCCAAGGGTATTCGATCATCATCATGACCCAATACCCACTGCAATTAGTTTTGCATAGTCCGAACACTTCTCAGCGAGTAATGAAGTGGGCTTTGGAACTTGGTCAATACGACTTAGCAAACCAACCCTGCATGATAATACAAGCCCAAGCACTGGCAGACTTTATAGCAAAATTCACCCCGAGCCTGAAGGATGCAGCAACACAGCCCGAAAAGGCCCTAGAGGTAGTCGAGCACACCATAGCCATAGCCCGAAAGGGCCCTAGAGGTAGTCGAGCACACCATAGCCATAGCTGCCCCACCTGATGGAGTTTTCTGGCGTTTGCAAGTCGATAGGTCATCCAACCATCAAGGATCGAGAGCAGGCCTAGTTCTCACTACCTCAGACGGCTCAATACTCAAGTAGGCGATCATTCTAAACTTCAAAGCATCGAACAACAAAGTAGAGTATGAAGCCCTACTAGCAGGTCTCCGATTGGCAAAAAACCTAACGGTTAAGAAGCTTGCAATCTATTCTGATTCCTAGCTGATCACCAACTAAACTTTAGGGGAATACGCAGCAAAAAATACAAGAATGGCCCAATACCTCGAGAAGGTACGAGAGCAGCTAGCGATGTTCTAAGCATACACACTCACTCGGGTTCCACAGGCAGAAAATGCCCATGCAGATGCACTGGCAAGCCTAGGCTCCGCATTAGACCATCAGCTCAAACGCTCAATCCTGGTCGAGTACCTGGAGAAGCCAAGCATAGATGAGGAACCAGCAAGCGAAGTGGTGCATATCAGCACAACCTCGAGTTGGCAAGATCACATCATCGACTCCATAGTCAATGGAACGCTCCCCGCAGACAGACTGGAATCTAGGAAGCTCCAAATAAAGGTAGCACGCTACTACATGTGGAACGTCGTGCTCGTTCGAAGATTCTTTTCAGGACCACATCTTAACTGCCTATCGCCTCCCGACGACCTGAAGATTCTTAGCTCAATCCACGAAGGTGTATGTGGAAACCACTCCGGAGGTCGATCATTGGCGCAAAAAGCTCTCAACGCTGGTTATTATTAGCTGACCATGCATCAAGACGCCAATGAGTATGTACAAAGGGTGCAACAGCTGCCAGTGCTTCAAGCATGTGCCCACACTACCTGCCAACGAACTTCATTCGCAAACAAACCCATGGCCATTCATGCAATGGGCGATCAACTTGGTAGGACCAATGTCTCCTGCTACTGGGGGGTAGAGGCATGATGATCGTAATGACCGACTACTTCACAAAATGGGTCGACGCCGAACCCATGACCACAACTACCCAGACGGACATAGAGTGCTTCATATGGAAGAACATCATCTGCCGCTTCAGCATCCCACACTTTATCGTCACCTACAATGGCCCACAGTTCATGGGCAAAGACTTGGTAAGATTCTTCGAAAAATATGGCATCAATAACACATGTCCACACCTCAATACTCACAGGGCAACGAGCAGGCCTAAGCGTCCAACAAGACTATCCTCGATTGCCTTAAGAAGACCATCTTAGACAAGAAGGGCAAGTGGCCAGACGAGCTCCCCGGTGTTCTATGGGCATATCGCACCACTAAAAAGTGAGCAACCGGCGAGACTCCATTCTCCTTTGCGTATGGTTCTGAGGCGATCATTCCTCCTAACGTTGTAGTGCCAAGCATCAGCACTATACTGCCAAACCTCGAGTAGAACAAAAAGGAGATCACTACCAACTTGGACCTGGCAGAGGAAGAGCGCGAGAAAGTTATCACCTGCATTGCGACCTATCAACAGCATTTCCTCTTCAACTACAACAAAAGGACAAAAATCTGGCAGTTCCAATAAGAAGACCTAGTTCTCAGGAAAGCCTTCATCATCACCCGACGAGAAGGCTCCAAAAAGATGACACCCATCTGGGAAGGTCCGTACAAAATCAGCTGAGTAGGCAGAAAGGGAAGCTACACCCTCACCACCATGAATGACAAAGAAATCGACAAGCAGTGAAATGCCTACAACCTGAGAAAGTACTACGTGTGACCTCCCATCATCCCTTGGACCATGTTTGAGATGAAAAGTTCGAAGATTTAAGCAGTTTGACGGACAGAGACCTCGCATGCCGAGGATGATCAATTGTTATAACATTATTACCTATGAGCAAAGTTAATAAAAGCCTATATTTTCAATGAAAATTGAAGGAATAATTCACAAGCCTGGGCCAAATGCATAAACAAACTGATTACCTCATGCGATAAGCAGAAACACCATCTGCCGGATGGACATGGTGAAGACACCCGTCGTCCGGCAGACATGGTGAAAGATACCCTCTGCCCGGCAAACATGGTGCAAGACACCTGCTGACCTGCAGACATGGTAAAAAACACCATCTACTCGGCAGACATGGTACAAGATTCCCGCTGCCCTGCAGACATGGTGAAAGACACCATTTGCCCGGCAGACATGGTGCAAGACACCTGATGCCCAGCAAACATAATGCAAGACACCCGCTGCCCTGTAGACATGGTGAAAAACGCTCTCTGCCCTACAGACATGGCGTAAGATACCCTCTGCCCTGCAAACATGGCATAACCACCCTTGTGATAAACAGAATGCGCCTTCTACATGTTCAAACATGGCGTATCCAGAATATCCAGACGTGGATGGGTAATACGACTGCTCAGTTTCCCCTAATGTCAGCGAACACCTGAGCCGGATAACTCTCAGAATTGGCTAAAATAGTCCTTCCACATGAATGGACTTAGCCAATTAAATGATTCAATTTCACGGGACCCGGGTCTCTAACCGGAAGAGACAGTTAAACGTAAGACAATTGCCCATGACAGATCTCGCGTGAACAATATGGTTCATCCTCGACTTGCAGATCTTCATGAAGTGGCTTGATTTTAAAGTGTTGCAATATTAGTCAAGCAACCTAAGGGATCAAAGCTGCGACTCAGAAGAATATGGCCTCTGATAGGCGACTTCGCCTGCACCTCACACCAAAAAATGTCTCCGAGAGCCAGGGATGACGCATGAAGTGGTTACACGGGTCGTCTGCTTCTGTAAGTAAGACACCGGGCTGACGACCCTACGGCTATAAGCCCAAGGCAACCCATAAGCCAGAACTTACGTCTGCCTTGACTACATGGACTTGCCTGCTTACTTATAAGCAGCGCTTCCAACCGACGATTTATGGTTTAAGTTTTGTTGGGACAAAGTCGAGTATCACGACTATACTAGCTGCGCGGACCTCCTCTACTTTCTACGAGAAACACGAGTCCTACCGACTGCTTTATAAGTCAAAAATCTCGCAATATGCCCCGGGAGGGTCAGGGCTCAAGAAGTCACTAAAGTCGAGTGTCATGACTATAGTAGCTGTGCGGACCTCATCTGCTTCCTACAAGAAGCACGAGTCCGACCGACGACTCTATAAGTAAAAAATCTCGCAACATGCCCCGGGATGGCCAATGATCAAGAAGCCACTAACATTAAGTGTCACGACTATAATAGTTGCGCAGACCTCATCTGCTTCCTACGAGAAGCATGAGTCCGGCCGACGACTCTATAAATAAAAAATCTCGCAACATGCCCCGGAAGGGCCAAGGCTCAAGAAGCCATTAAAGTTGAGTGCCATGACTACAGTAGTTGCGTGGACCTCATCTGCTTCCTCCGAGAAACATGAGCTCGGCTAACAGTTCTATAAGTTAAAAATATCGCGTTTTTTTCCTCTTGCGGGTAAAGTTTACGAAGCTACCTAAAGCCTAAAGTGACCACGTGAGTCAACTACTCCATCGTAGTAGACCACTCAACTTCCCGTCCTAAGGCAAAGTTTTGCAAGACGCCACAAGCAAGCAAGGCTCATGAAGCCCACAAGCTGAAACTAAAACCTAAGTGACGACGTGGGATCAAATGCTTCGTTGAAGCAGCTCACCTAGCCGCCCATCCTACGGTAAAGTTTCACAAAAGACATGGCGAAATAGAAGGATGAAGGAAAAACAAGGAAAGTTGTTTATTAAATTTCTAGCAAATTGATAAACCACCTCGAAGGCCAACACAGCTCAAGCAAAGCAGAACAAAAAGGAAAATAAGAAAAACTCCTAAGTCTAAGCAAAAGACTACTCCTTAGCAGCTTGCGCAACCACTGGTTCATCGACTGTCGTGCCATTCCCAGCAACTAAAGCTTCTATCAGCTCATCTTCAACCGCCCCTGCTTAGACTGCCTGACCTTCAGTTGCTCCACCAAAGGTAGCCTCAAATGAGAAATCAGGCAAATAAACTGGAAAAATGGAAAAAGTCTTGAAGTCATTCTTGGAAAATTCATAATCCAATGGCCTGCCCTGAAGATGGTCTACATAGCTAATATTGTATAAATCGGTCTGACAAGAAGCAAGCGCCACTTCGTGACCAGCTTTCTCATTCTTCAACTAGATATTCTCCTCAATAAGCCCAGTGTGAACACCCTGCAGCTCATCCAGTTCATTTTTAAAGTTCTCGCTAGCAAACAGCACGCCTTGCAGATCCATTTCCTTGGACTCAAGCTTACTGGCAATCTCCTTGAGACGAGACACTTTAGCATGCATGAAGATAAACTCCTCGTCCTTGGAAAAACAAGCAGATCGTAACTCCAAATTGACACGCTCAAGGTCATTGACAACCGGAGAAACACGATTGATTTCCTTCTCTGCAACTTCCAACATCGCTTGAGTCGCACTAAGCCTAGCATTCAAATGAGTAGCCTCTTCATGAGCGATCTCCAACTGCAAAGAAATAGGGGCAAAGACATCAGATCCCTTCAAAACAGCAAGTTCAGATTCGAGCTTCTCGATCTTTTTAACAACCGAGTGAAGTTGAGCCATCAATGTCACTTCGACCTCCTTAGCACACTTGACAGCATTTTGATCAACATGCATAGACTCAGCTGCCAGGATCAAAGTCTTATGCAGTGTAGCAATCAGGGAAGAACTCATCGAGTAAGCAGGACGCTTCGCAAATGAGTCTGAGCAGATGACAACTTTCCCAACATTGTCAATGAACTTGGCCCATGCATTGGCATCCTCAAGCAGGTTAGCCTTCAGCAGTGCACAAACCTTAGGAAATTTTCTAGCTTCAGACTCGGTGGATCTCTCACAACTACCCGTGCGAGCAGATTTCCCCTTCTCAACAGACGAGTCAGTCACAACAGAAGGAGAAGTGGGCCTAAGCACCACAATGGCAGCAGAATCACCTTCCCACTCTTCATAGCGGCGAGCCTTTTAAAAGTCTATTCAGACTTAGCTCCCGATAGATGCTTTGATACAAACCTGGACATCAGAGACACCACCGAACCCTTCCGCTTAGCAAGTCTCTCAGTAATGGATGTAGTCACCTTCGGAGCAGCAGGTTTCATAGGCTCAGGCTCAACAGTCTTCCTCACCACCTTGGGAGAAATTAGATCAATGACGAGCTTCTCGGCAGCAGATGAGCTCCCACGAGCAACAAAAGAAGTCATTGGCTTCTTCTCGGCCGAAGGCTCACGAGCAAGTGAGGAAGATCTTTTCTTTCCACCCTTGTTGGCTGCAGGCTCTACAGCAGCGATCTGGCGAGCCAACGCCTCATCCTTTATCTGTTTGATCTCTTCCTTCAAAGGCAGACCACATTTCTCCCAACGAAGAGAGCTGAGCAGCCAGCACCATTCACTATACTCATTAGGAATGCCCAAGGCAACGTGCATTTTCTTCATATCTGCCGAAGTCTTTGAAGTTGAGCCAAACTCCGAATCTACGCAAAGTAAAAGACGATCAATAAATTGAAATCATGGAGTAGCTCAACAAAAATTCAAGTAGGACAAGAATGAAGTAGTTCACTTACCACTAATAAAGGTAGTCGAGACACGCAGCTTAGGAGAAGAGTCAGACTCCCACTATCTGCTCACCTCAAATATGTCTCTCTCCAAGTCATGATCACCTTTGCTAGAAGCATCGAATAGCCTATGGTGAGACCTTAGCTACCTCACACCTTCATTGTGGCCGATCTCAAAGAAATACCAGAACTCATTTATGGTTAAGCCAAGATCAAACAACCTACTCAA